CTTTTTTTTTTTTAAACTATTCCAAACAAAAAGAAAAAAATGGGCGTAATATAAAAATGGTTAAAAAAAGAAAGGTAAGTAACTATTATACATGGCAAGGTGCGGGTTTTTTGTTTATTTTTCCTAATTAAAATAATTTTCACCTTTTTTACATGATCTCGTGCCTGGGTATTGATTTGTGTTAAACAGCAACGTTTGCTTCCCTTTCGTATTTTGTTAGGTGTCGAGAGCAGAAAGTGCTGAGTTAGAGACTCCAGTATCGTCTCGTTGTATTAATATCTGGGCTGCAAACTACCTTTTTTAATACCCAGAAAAATGCTTAAAGTCCTCTTGTCCAGTTCGGTCTGGAACTGAAGAGATACACAAATCCTGACGTCTTAGACTACAATGCTTTTGCCTTCGGGACACTTAATGCCTATTTGTATATGTAGAGACAGTGTTTGAAACCTATAATGCACAGGACACTGAGTTAAGTGGAGCTTTTCTAGTTTATAAACAATCTGCGAAAAGTTTGGAATCGATTTAACCTCTTTTATGTTGGCCTTTTGCATAAGGCACAGCTTCATACGGCAGGATTAAAAAAAAGGCTTTCTGGACCCCGCCGAAGTCTCTCTGAAACTGGAAGACGAATATACACCTTTCCGTACGAGAAAGCCTTTGATTATAAATATGGGAAAACTGTCATGCAACCAGACCCGCTCAAAAAGCCTTCAGAAAAGAACAGGGGGGGTGAAAGCTTAGCGCATCCTGACGAGCTTTTTAAATGCTATTGATTGGGACAAGCTGTTCAAAACCCCAGTAACAGTTAATCTGCCTGTTAATCAAGCCACTAAGGAGCTCAATGCGAGTTTTATTAGCAACTGGAGAACACAGGCAGCAGAAAGGATCAAAAGCCTACACCCTTGATATTTGTAAAACCAGCCTTTCCCAAAAATATATTTTCAATTACAGAGTAATTCGGAGCTTATCAGGGCTCGCTCTCAGCCCCACGCAGATGGTTCCGCAGGCGCTGCCAAAGCCACGAATCCAAATGAACCAGCATCGCGCTGGCCCCGCCGAGGTGCGGGGGTTAAAAATAACGCGTTAAGGGGGGTCCAGCTCTCGCCTCTCTCCAGCCTCGGACTCTCCTGGCCTCCCGAATTAGTAGCAAAACCTAAACTTGGCAAACCACGAGGAACCGATAGAGAAACTCCTCAGATTCACGTCAATTGTGTTCTTAGGCTGAGGGGTCGAGGGCTCTTTTTCTTTAAGCTGGCATATTTGATTTATCGCGGCAAGTTTGCAGAGCACGTTTCTCTCTGCCCATCCTTTCGGTGGAGCCTCTCATTTAATTGCTAAAAAAAAAAGTTTAAATCGCAAGATTTGTAATTTGGAGAGCCTAAAAGTTGAATTTCAATTAATTTAACGACCAGGAATATTATTATATCGGCTAAAATCAACATCTGATCTTGTCATTTTTAATGCAAACCGATTCCTTTATATGTCAGTGAGATATGCATATAAAAGACTATCTGGTCAGAGGTAATTATGTCACAGCTTTTTCTCGGCATGACAGCTGGATAAACACCATCTCCAATAAACATCTCTAATTAGGGAGGAGGATCTGAGATAGATGGTGTTTGATTTATTACTGAAGGAGAATGTCCATTTACCGGTATATTATAGTGAAGCATCACAGGGAGCGTTCCCGCTAACGCACCGTAAGGAATATTTGGAGATGCTCGAAGACAGGTAAGCGGTGTTTTAGGTTTTACGCTGCTATTTTTGTTTAGCGTTATTTCGGAGGAAGAACGGCCTTTCTACGGTACCTTTCTCTCCCACTGACGCCCCGATTTAGTAGAGGCACCCAGGGTTGGGAAGCCAAGCCCGAGTTTGGGGCCCAAGAAGTGGTCGCCTCTCGGCGACCGGACCTTTCCAGCCCGGGTAGGGTGACAGAGCCTCCGCGGCGACCGGCGAGCCCCCGGCGTTAGGCGGGGAAAAGGGTGGTTGGGACGCGGCCCCCGACGGCAGCCCGGCTCGGCTCGGCTCTGCTCCCGCAGCCCCGCCGCCAGCCTGCCTTTCCGCGCCCCTCCGCGGGGGCGTCACGCCGGACTCTCCGTGACCCGCTCCCATCCCGTCCATTCAGCCCGGGGGGCTGGAGCCCGAGCCCGAGCCGGCCGCTCCAGGGCGCGGGGGGCGCCGAGCGGGGTGCTCCGAGGGGCGCGGTAACCCGCGGCTGCCCCCGCCACCTGAGACGGGTCACGGCGAGGGAGCGGGGCCCGGGTCACGGGGCGGGGGGAAGGGGAGGGGGCTGCGCCGCCCGCGCAGGGGGGGAAGTTTGGGAAGCGGCTCGCACCGCCGGCCGCCCCCTCCGCCCCGCGGCGCCCCCTCCGACGGGCGGGCAGCGGCCGGAGCCGCTCCCTCCCACCCCTCCTCCCACCCCCACCTGTTGTGCGGGGCTCCGGCCCGCTCCCCTCGCCTTCCCCCCGCGGGGTGGGGGTACCCGGGGTCGGGGTGCCCGGCCCCTCCCGTCGGGCTGGCGGCCGGCAGCGGCCCGCGGTCGGGGCGAGGGGCTGGGGGTGGAGGGGACGTGCGGGGACGTTACCTGTCAGCGGGAGCGGAGGGTCTGGGCGCGGCGGTCCCGCGGCCGGGAGGAGGTACCTGGCGGCTCCGGTCGCCAATTTCCACGCAAAGAACCTGCCACACAGTTTAAATGTCAATGACAGCAAAAGAGGGGTGCTGCCTTTGCACTAACTTTCCCTTAATATCGAAGCCAGCGCCTCCCCCCATTGGCTGGGCCGCCCCGGTGACGTCACGGCGGACAGTAGTTCGCTAATGAGACATTTTGGGCGACACGAGCGCGAACGGCGCGAGCCCGGACACCGCCCGCCCCGTCGGCGGGCACGGCCCTGCACGGCACGGCCCCGCCCGGGGTCCCGCTCCGCCCGGGGCTCCGCGCCGGGGCTTGGCCGTCGGACGGGACTCCCTTGGACCGGGGGCTCCCTCGTGTACCGGCGGGGTCGCTGCCTCCTCCCGCTGCCCACCGGCAACCGGGGCCTGCGGCCCGACGGCTCGCCCCAGCCGCAGCACCGCCGGCAGCCGGGCCTATCCCCGGCCTCTCAGGTCGAGGTTTGGGCTGAGGTTTGGCTTCTCCCCCTCTGAAAGGCGCTGCGAAGGAGGGACGCTCTTGCGCGGGTAAAGAGGCCCCGCAAAACCTGACCCAACCCTGTGGCTCCTGGGAAACGCTGTGGCCCTCCAGCTCGCCCGCAGGTCTCCTGCTGGAACGAGATGCCGGACCCTGCGAGACCTAAGGACAGGCCGCGGGACGGCCGGGACACGCGTGGGCCGCTCCGGCAGCCTCCCTGCGCCCTGGCAGCCTCTGCGGGTGATCCGGGGCCCTGCGGGTCCTGCCCGGGCTCCCTGTCCGCACCCTCTCCCATTAGAGAGGGAGGGAGAGAGGCCCGTTATTTGCGCACACTTGTCAGGGTAAATAATTCATCAGCAAAGAGGGCCCCCCCGCAGCCGATAGTTTTATTGAACTGCACTTAAATGTTTCATGAACCTGCCGCCCGCCCGGGATGAGGCGGGGGCCGCCGGATCCATTAGGAGCGGGCTGTGGCGGGGGGTGCGGGGAGAGCGCTTTGAGGAGTGCGGGGGCACTCGCCCGGCCCCGGCCCCTGCTCCAGCTCTGCGGGCCGGGGTCAGGCGGGACCCCCCGGGGCAGGAATCCCGGGGAGCCCGCCCGGATCCCGGGTGACCCTGTCCCTTACACGGCCAGGCCGCGTTGGCAGGTAGCGACGGCTCCGGGGGTGCTGCCAGGAAGGGGTTTCGCGGCGCGTTTGGAGCCGCTGCCATTAAGGGGCTTGCGGCTCCCTGCAACCCGGCAGGGTCCTCCAGGGAAGCGTTGGAAACACCACGGCTCCCGCCTGCTTATCTGGCTGTCAATAAAAGGAGATGGCTCCTAAAGCAGGGCCAGGTGCTGCCTCCCCTGCTCTCCAGCGCGCCGCTCTCCAGAAACTGCTCAGGCGTGAAGCCAAGTCTGCTTGGCCAGGCCTCGGCGGAGGCAGGCAAACAGCCCCTCGCCAGCGCCAGAGCGCTCTGTTTGCCTTTTTATCTCCTAAAAAAAAATAGAGACAGGGAGAGGGAAACGAGGCAGGAAAGTGGGGGAGCGACGGGAACAGAGTCCGTATTTGGCTGGGAGATCGCCTGAAAAAAAAAAAAAAAAAAAAGGATAATAATAAAGAATAGTGGAAAAAAACCCCTGCAAAGGCTGCGCTCAGAGGCAGGCGGGACCCCGGGGGCGGCGGGCCGGGCCGGCCGCCTCTCCCTGCCGGGCGCTGCCTCGGGAAACTCCGTTCGGCGGCGGGGGCTCCCCCGGGCAGGCCCGGTGTCACCCCCGGACCGAGGAGGGGGTGCCCAAGGGCCGCCCCCCGCCGCGCAACCCTGCGGAGCCCCCGCGCCCCGCCGGGCAGGCTCGGGCAGGGAGCGGTGCCGGGGGAGCGGGCCAGCAAAGTGTCCCCCCCCCCGCCCGTGCGTGTGTCCCCGTTAATTTTTGCTTCTGTCACGACCGGGTCCGCAGCCTTTCCCGAGCCGCGGAGGACGGAGGATGCTCCGCGCTGCAGCGCGGAGCTGAGCCCCGCGGGCGCGGAGGGGAGCGGGCTCGGTGCGGGCGTCGTCGCGCCCGGGCAGGGGAGAGGAGCAGGGGCACGGCAACGTGTTACAAATTTATAAGCGTTATACATATTTGATTTACACTGCGTTCCGAAGTTGTGGGGTTTTTTTCTTTTTTTCCTTTTTTTTTTTTTCCTTTTCCCGAGGATGCCCCAAACCCCCGTGTTCACATAGATTGAGCAATTCTCAACACACACTGTAATAATGAGCTTTAATTCTCTATCCAAGCAGAACTTGAGCAATAATAATAAGCACATCAGAACAATTTGTTTACTGTGGCATTGCACAGGCTGCAGGGTCCAAGACTAGCTACAATAAACGGTAAAAACCAAAGGAAAAGCTCTAGAACAGGAAAAATATTGCGATAGAAACGTGGTTTTGGCTTTCAAGGAAAGAGGCTCTTGACTAGCATTTTAGCTGGGATATTTTGCCCTTGTCCAAGGTATGTGTTTTTAAATATTTTCCTTTTATTTTCCCCACACGTTTCTTTGCTTGTCTAACATTTCTCTTTTGCCCCCAGGATTGCGTTTAAACCTTGGTGCAGGAATGTAATTTTGCTCTTGTTTTGTATTGTTGGGTTTGTTGGTTTGTTTTTTTCTTTTTTTTTTCTTTTTTTTTTTTTTTTTAATCCTCTCGTCCTGTCGGCTCAGCCCTCTCGTAGTTTGATAGAAACTGAATAGCTCCATCTCTTCGAATAAAAAATACCTGAGTTATTATTGAAATGGCTTTTTGTGTGCTGGCATATAAAGTTGGGAGAGCTTTCCGGCTGTTGTGCGGCTGGCAGCCTGCGAGGCTCTCCTGCGACCTGGTAAACGGTTGCACCTTCCCTTCTCCTGAGCATTTGCCCAGAGCGGGCTGAGCCGGCTGACATGGGCACCCCACTCTGTGAACCCTTGGCGAGCTGGAAACTTGTTGTAACAAGCGGGATTAGTGTGCGGGAGCGTGTGTTTGGGGGCTTTAATTTAAGATGCTGCAAGAAACTTCTGTGAACTGAAGCGTCCTAAAGACAGAAATTTAGCAGAAAGATAACATTTTCCCTCGTGAAGAATCCCACCGTAGCCGACTGTATAATAAGACTATTATTTTCAATGCCGTAACCTTGTTTCTCATCCAAAAAGAAAAAAAATCAAGATTAAAAAAAAAAATGCTTCTTGCTTAGAAAAAGAAAAGTATAGCTATAAATCATTTCTTTATACCTTAACTTTGTAGCTGGGCTTTCTCTCTCAATCTCTCTTTTTTTTTTTTTTTTCTTTTCCCCTGAAGACTCCTAATGCTATTAATTTGTCGAAAACTTTATTCTGGGCTGTCTTGAATTATTTCCCTTCTCTATCCTTTAAAACATTTTCATAATAAGCGTGACTCCGGACAATGTTTGATTTGTTTTTCTCCCCTCATCCCGGTTTAGACTGAGACATTAGCTGAATTCCCTGGGGGTGATTGGATGCAATTCGCTGAAAGTCGACAGGCACGTCCTGGATGTTAGAAATTCACTTTTCCTCAACGTGACAAGGCTGAGTTCGATCTACAATTGTATTTGAAAGGGCAATGAGCGGAAAGATCTCCCATCATTAAAGCCTCCCTCTTCTTTAGCAAAATAACAAGATACTTCATTTGCACACAAACACTCAGGGAAAAAAAAAATCCCCAAACCCTAACCGACCCGCTATAACTCTTTGATAAAACGCTATCTCTGCATAATTTGGGAGGGGGGAACGACATATCAAAAGGTATCGGAGGACCCCCAAAGCGCCCATGTGATCAAGTTGACTTTTTACTTTAAATCTTGAATAAGATGTGAGTTGTAACAAGGGGATTTGCACTTACTCCATGACCCTTGTAATTGGATTAAATATAGACTGAGACGTACAAAAACATACCAAGATTGACACCTGCCAACTGGACTTCCTTATGATTGATTGTGATGCTTCGTGCTGGCAACAATAATGAAATAAATTGTATGGATAAAACAGCACATTTGTCATTTCCGTGCCATAAGAGAGGAAGGCAGCGTGTTAGGCAAGCTGTTATCTGACAGGCACGAACAGCAGACACAACTAAAGAGCTAAACAAGGATTCCAGACATTGACAAGACAAATTATAACTTGTCACAACCTTTTTAAATTCAGAAGTTTTCAATTAACATATATATTGCTGTTACATATAAGATCGGGGTGGACTTAAAATATAAACAGGCAGGGACGGAAGGGCGGCGAAGGCTGCGGAGCCGGCGCTGCCCCGGCTGCCGGCGCTCACCGGAGCCGCGGCCCCGGGAGCCGCCCCGGCGCCCCCGCCCGCGGGCACGGGCACGGCCCTGCCGGGGCAGCGGGACGAGCCCGGGGGACGAGCCGCTGGGACGCTCCCGCCCGCCTTTGTCCGTGCCCCAAGCCGGCCGAGGCGCGGAGGGGCCGGAGCGGAGTGCCCGGCGCAGGTAGCGCATCCCCTCGAGGTGTGCGGGGCTCCCCGCTGATGAGCCACCGCCCGCCCGGCCCGGCATACAGAGCGCGGTGTGTCCTGCAGGGAATCGGTTTGGATTTACGGCTCCCCGGCGGCGATGCTCGGCGGGGGATGGATGCGGGGCAGGGGCTGCCGCGCCCCTCCGCGCCCGCGCAGCGCGGGCAGCGCCGGGCTCCCAGCGCCGGGCCCGCGGGCGCGGACAGGGCCGGGCAGGGTGGGCTCTCCACCTCCGCTGCCCGTCGGGTCTGCAGGGACCCCTCCGGGAGCGGGAGGGAGCAGCCCCGTGGGACCCCCTGGAGGGACCGGAGAGGGGACCCACACCCGGCACCAGCTCCTCTCCTTCGAGGGACACCCCGTCCCTCGGCTCCCCTTGGTCACTCGTGACTCCCCAGCAGGGCCCTCCCTGTGTCCCTGCGGGAAAAAAGCCGAGGTCCTGCCGAAGTGGGGAACGTTCCCTGCGGGGTGTGGAGGGTCACGACACACAGGGTACGTCGTGGCACAAGGGCTTGGGCTTGGGCCGGGCTTTGCAGGGTGCACAAAGAGGCAGCGTGACCTGGAGGGGCTGGCGGGGCAGTGTCCGGATTTGGGCCATCTGGTCCCCGCCAGGTTGTCACTGGGTAAACTCTGCCCAGTGGGAGGCGGGAGCGGGCTCACCGGAGCACGGCCCCAAGCCCCCCACTCCTGTCGCGACCCCCCAAAATGCAAACGAAGCTGCGGAGCATTTTCCCCCAGGACGTGGTGCGCTTTGCCCGAGGAGGTGCTGACCTGGCCCGTCCGGGAGAGCATCTCCCAGGAGCAGAAAGAAATCCCGACTCTCGCAGAAAACTGTCGGGTCCCACTCGAGGGGCTACTCCAGCGCTTACACAAATATTTTTTACCCCCGTTTCTTTTGTCTGAGCGGGTTTTTGCTGGGCCCGAGGTGACCAGCGGTAGAAGTGCAGGAGATGCAGCACCGCGGCTCTCTCGGCCATCGCCGGGGGCAGAGAAAAAGGACCCTCCCCACAAACCCCCGAGTCCCAAGTTGGCAAAAAATAACTAATATTCCAAGGCGACCTTTCCATTTGCTGTAATTACTGGCAAACTCATTCCTCTAAATTAAATGCTGCAAGTGATTCGAAACCTTGTAAAGCAAAAACCAAGTTCCATCGAATTAGTTGTAGCCTGCCTGCTTTCCCCAGTGACTGCATCTATTAACATTATAATCTCAAACACCATTTTTTATGTAACACTATTGTTAGTAAATCAACTCCTCAGGTCCACAGAGACGCTGACCTCTGTCAATTCAGTGAAAGTGTAATTATCTCCCCGAATCTTGGACAGATTTAAGAGATTACATTTCAACTAAATCTATATCAATGCTAATTTTTTCCAGACTCCAGGTGCTAGGCACTCCGAAATGGTGTTTCTGCCCAGCAGAATGGGTTACAAAGAGGAGAGGGCTTGCTGTGCAGAGGGCCAAAAGAAATGAAGCCCCACATAAAATTACACCTATTTTTTGCTACAAAACCTGGTTCTTGTATGGCAAAGTTAAACAAAGCAGCTATGCTAAATTAGCGTTAAATAAAGGCTAGTTTAATGCTCGGTTACAGTCAACTGGTGTATATTTGATGGCTAATTGTCTATCAAAATTAAAAAGAAAAGAACAAATGATTCGTTATAAGAAGGTGTTAAAAGCTTCGACAAAAGGACATTTCACAAATATAATATCTGTGGATGGCGAATTGTCCTTTTGAAGCTTTTTTAATGTACTAAAGGCCTGGGACTCCGCAGATATGAATAATGGGGAGAAACGCGCCCTTTTATTCCGAAAGAGCCTGTTTTACACCAGTCGCTCCAATAAACCGGCAAGGACAATATTCCGGGAGGAACGGGAACCGCGCTGCTGTGATTTCCGACGGCCACTTAAATAAATAATGCCCCGGCAGTAAAAAGGCATTTAAATGTTATTTGGTTTGCGCTTAAAGAGACCTAAGCGCCTTCCCGGCGGAGAGCAGCTCTCACTTGCAAATCAACCCACATCAGCAGGGAGAAAACAGTATTTGCAGGGCTGCGGGGATGGGGACGAGGACGAGGACGGATCCTGCTTCGAGTGCCCCGCGGCCAGGCGAGGTGCGGGGCCGCCCGCCCCGCGTTTATTGCTTTATCAGAGTAATGGGTCAGGAAATATTCCACGGAGGAAGAGAGGGAGGGAAGGGGGGGGTGAGGAGGGGGAAGAAAGCGAGACTGGGAGAGCCGCAAAAAATAAGAGGGAAAAAGTGGTAAAGCCAACCAACCAAAAGAAAAGCTCTTGTGCGAAGTTAATTCAAGAGGATGGCGGCGAAGCGGGCGCCGGGGCAGGGTCAGCCCCGCCGGCTCCGCGGGCGCGGAGCGCTGCGCAGCCGCTCCGCGTGGGGAGGGAGGGGGTCCGCACCCCGGCGGAGGGCGTGCGGGAGAGCCGGAGTATGCAAAAAAAAAAAAAAAAAAAAAAAAAAAAAAGCCCCGACTAAATCATGCAGCAAGAACGACAAACCGTCTGGAAAATGGACCCATGGAGCAGCAAGAATGTACTTTTTTATCTCTGACAACTTGTGTCCTAAAGAAACTATCTTGAAGATAATTGAAATGATTACAATTCATTGCTGCCTTACTTTGAGTAGGAACAGTCAAATAATGAAATCTTAGTAATACAGCAAAAATTTAATTTACATTACACCCTTGCTCGAGGTTTCCCTTTTTCTTTTTCTCTCCCCGTTTTTTTTTTATGCCTAGCTTCCCCTAGAAATTTTGTGCTCACACATAATTCTGCACTTTGTTGCATTATTCATATTTTCGGGGTTATTTCCTATCCCCTCCTGCCCTTTCTCCTTTAGTAATGGTCTCTGAAACTTCCAGATGCGGGATGCAGGGAATCTTTCGGAAGGAGAGTACCTCAAAAGGCAAGGAGGGATCCCCAAACTAAGCCCAGCAAGGCCGGGGTGGCTGCTGCTGCCTGAGAGGAAATTTTGGCTA